AAGATTTAAAAAAAAAAAAAAAAAAAAAGCCTGGTATTCTGCAGGGAAAATTCTTATTAAAACAATGAGATGTAAAACTAACTTCCTTCCTTCCTTCCTTCCTTCCTTCCTTCCTTCCTTCCTTCCTCCCTTCCTCCCTTCCTCCCTTCCTCCCTTCCTCCCTTCCTCCCTTCCTCCCTTCCTCCCTCCCTCCCTCCCTCCCTCCCTTTCTCTGTAACACTATGCAATAATACATTAAATACTTATGTTTTGGCACAAACTTGAGAGGGAATTTATTGGAGAATACAGGGGTTTAAAAATATGTCTAGGATGTAGCTTGGCCAAGAATATGTTATCGAATTTTGGGTTCTTTCTTTTTATAAATATGAGTTTAATTTCTAACAAATATTCACATTTCAGAGCTGAAGAAAGACCAGTTAAGAAAAGAAAAATGCAAAACTGCAGTTTCCAAAAGAAGAAGCTAAAATTAATGGAAGCCATGTTGGAAGAACAAAAGAAGTTGAGTAGAGCTATGGAAGAAACCTGTAGAGAAGTGCGCAGGATCCTGGACCAGCAGAACATCATTCAAGTTCAAAGCTTACAGTTACAGGAGAGAATGATGAATCTACTGGAGAAAATGATCTCCAAGTCTAATGTGTAGTTTCCTTTGTGAATGCCTCTGAGATTACTCTTGCTATTATAAACATTTATTGCACACCATATGTGTGTCTGTTGCCCTATTCCCACGTTTTCCATGGAAATTAAAACCCTAGTGTAATCCTAGTTCAGCAAAGAAAACATAATGCAGGGCGAGAGCTATCCAGTATGATAAAATTAGTGCAATATATACCTAAGCTGAATTATTTTTATACAGAAAGGTTAAGGGATAAATAGCTCGGGGAACTGAAGTACTATTTATGCCTAAGTCAGGTATTGTTTTGCAAACAGTGGTGTTGTATATTGCTTCACATCAAGGACTGCAGCATAATCTGTTTTAGGAGAATGAAATAATGCATTTCTAAACATGGTTATTGCACCTTGACTTTGCTGATGATTTAACCCTGTTTTGAAACATATGCCTGATTGTATAAGTGACCTATGGTTCTTGTGAAGAGCTAGTTGGGACCATGAGATACATAATTTTAAAGTCCATGCCTGATATGAATAGTACTCTAAAGTATGAGGGTAAAAATAGTCTATTAAAATACATTTTTTGATATAAAAAGAAATCCCCCAAACCACCTTACTATATACTCAATACTAAAATGTATAGAAAATACTTGAAGTTGCTTTTGATATTAAACGTTTGATTTTTTTCATTATTAACCGGAATCTTGACTTAACAAACAACCAGCAATGAAAACTTTTGTTTATTCTCTATCACAAAAGAAAAGTATTGTACCGTGTGTATATACATATATATAATGTCTATCAAATGAAATAAAGAAAAAGTAGAAACTTACTCCTTATTGCTGGGCAGATAGTATGCTTTGGGACAGCAAAGGATACTGGGAATGATAACCACAGTGAGAGGTTCACAGCTACTGATTGCAGGGTAAAGATGCGCTGTGCTGATGCCCAGATGGATAGGGATGCACCACACGAGGGAGCCGCAGGCACGGAGCATTGTATCCAGGGAACGGAGATGGAGCACCAGCTGGCGTTTGGCTCCTCCATGAAAGGTGACATTGAGGTAATCTTCCACTTAAATTCGATAATTGGTCGGCAGAATTTCCTATATGCCTTTTCCTTTTGTGCTCTCCTTAAAAAAACATATTTCTGCCTGTTTACTGTATAGGCAAGAGCAAAGGTTGGATTCCAGTATAGAAACTAAAGAATTAGTACACGGAACTCAGGCCATTTTTCATTCTCGCTATTGAATAATGTCCCCTCTTATAACTTTGTCTTTGAAGGTGTTTGCATTCTCCTATATAATTTAAAGTGTTGTTGCCTATGTACAGGTGAGCTAAAATATTTTGAATTCCTGACACAACAAATTAATCTCTAATTATGCTTGCTGAACAGGATAAAGGTTATACTCACCAAGCAAATTAATATGTGGAAATATTTCTTAGAGGATCCTCCAGGTATGAAGATTAAGAATTATTAAGTAGCTAAATGTAGCCCATTCCTATAGAGTTTCATTAATGATAACAGGATAAGGCAAAGATAGTAGAAGACTGAACTTGGAGAAAATGGTGGTTGCTGAAATTTAAACAAAGTAACTGTCCCTCACCCCACCTTTACTACAGTGATTGCATGATTGGAAAAATGCCAAGTTTCTTTTCTGATTCTCCCAAGAGTTTTACACAGTTCAATGTAGATCTATCACAAATTCAGGTAGGCTACATGTTCAGTGCTTCCTGACACTAACCTGTTTACAGCAAGATATAAAGAAATTCTCTCCTGACACCACAGGAATGAATAGCATTTACTGTTACTATCTACTTGAATAATATAGCAACTAAATCCAATTAATGAGCAATAACAATGGCAGCACAGCTGAACCTTGTACTGTAGAGTAGGTAGCCCCCCTCCTTCCATGTCATTACAGCTCCAGATCTGTAGGAACATAAGAATGGAGAAAATCTTATTCCTTGCCTGCTACCACAAGGAACCATGTCATATAATCCCTTTTGTAAATGTGTGGACCTGTATCATAAAATGAGTTAGGTGTGTTGTCTCCAAATTTATATTAAGAGCTGCATTACAGACAGATAAATGCAGTTGATTAGATTGCTTCTAGGATTATTCCTGATTAATTTATACCAATTTCTTCTTGTATCAACACTGATTTTGCTGCTTTATTTAGCATTTACTCTTGAGAGCCAGAGGTCATGCCCCATGCAACCCTTTTTCTGATGGGTAATACTCTTTTATAAGGTAGGATTTTGATGACTGTTTTTGTTTTTTTTGTTCTTTTCAGTTCATCCATTCTAAAGGTGAGTGACCAGAATGATACACATCATTCCAGATGAGACTCCAAACATTCTCTTACATAACTGCTTTAAAGGAAATGGTGTTTTCTGGTAGTTGTGACTTTTCTTTTCTATGTAATATCACTTTTAGTAGTTACATTTAGAAGTTCAATTTTAAATAATCATCTCTTTAACAACAGGCTTTATTCTTATCCATGCAGATTACCTGTGTTCTAGCCCTGTTTTTGGCTAGAGAGTGAACACAGCAAAGCTGTAGACAAATACTACAAGTTTCATGTATGAGAGAGCTTTTCTAATGGTTTTTGGCAACAAACTGAAAATTCCCCACAGTTTATTTTTGCTGCTGTTTCTTTTGTTCCTGTAAAGACTGAACGCTTGCTTGAAAAAATAGGTTGAGTGGTTTTTTTTTGGGGATTTCTTTTTTTGTTTAAGGTATTCACAGTCTTTTAATCTGTATGGGGCAGTTAGCTGCAAGTACAGATATTTGAGTATTTGTGATATTCAGACAAATTATAACTTGAAAGGCCTGACTAGAATTAAAATTCTTAGTAGAATTCCTGGTTTTGCAAAACAGATACTACTGTGTCTGTATGAGTAGGGAGCCGAGTATAATAAGTATTCAAGGGGAGCACATGAGGCGTTACCCAAGTTTATCATTTTAACTATGACATTAAAGGAACTCCCTCATGGCTTCTAGAAGTGTGATCAACAAAGAAGCTGTAGCATAGGAAAAAAAATTTCTTATTTTCAGGGCAGTAACGGGGTCAACTCCATTTGATATCACTTCCACCAAATGAAGTGCTTGTATTACATATACACACGCAGATGGTGCAAATGGAAAAATTAAATAGTGGAGGAAATACACTGCCTGGAGGCAGGTGACTTTGTAATTGATGTAACTTTGTAAATCATGTGACACTAAAGGAAAAAGAACCTGAGGAGGCAGATGAGGAAATGACACTGAGAAATATGCAAGCCATTGAAAAACAGATTTTGATGGAGGATGGGGAAAAAATATGTTGGACAAAGGGGCAATGTAAATGCCTCCAAAAAAAAAAAAAACCCAGTAATGACAGGAATGAGGGAACACAACATTTTAGAAAGTGGGAATGTAAGAAAAAACATAAAACTGAAGGGGAAAACTTTGAGTGTGAAAAAACTAACGCTAGTAAAATTCTGTATATTTTGAGTAGAGAGCCCCTACAGATTACTTAAACAAGTTACAAACAGTAACAGCAAGGAGTGACAGTTTTTCCCACCTGAGAAAAATAAGGCTCTGAACAAACTTTTGGAATCAAGGATATTTTTCACAGAGGAGAGAGGTTATGAAATTTGTAGGAGGATCCTGTTATAATTAAGCAGCATTTTCTCATGCTGGTATTAAGAATTTGCTGGGTAAAAATGTTTCTAAAAGTTTTTTTCTTTTTACTCCTTGACTTCAAATTGGAGAAGCATTTTAAGACTTCAGCTTATTTCAGGCCCTGACAAGTTTAACAGTTATCCACCAGACCAGGAGATATATTTATGGATGGGGAATGATATTATTTTATCATATTCTCCATAAACTGCTCTCTTGAAAATAACAAAGCCAGAACAAAAACATATACACAGGATTTTATTTTTTTCCCCCAGACTTAGCCTACCCAATTCTGTGTAGGCAAATACTTTACAACTCTGTAGACTTACCCTAAGTTGACAGCCTGGTTCTGTGAACAGTTTCCTGTTCCAAAGTCAATGGGACAACCCAAATGAATAAATATATTGAAATCTTTATGTATATGTTTGCAAGATCAGTTCCTATGCTGATAATGTAATATGAAAGACAAATTTAAAAAAGAAATTTAGGAACATTTGGTGGTGTTATGTCAGCAAGTAAATACTAACCATCTGGTCTCTAGATTGCTAATCTATTTCCCCTGATTTTATGGTAGCAAGCTTCCTGTGTCTGCAAGCTTGAGACTGCATCATTAAACTTTTGTGTTGATCTTTTTTAGTGTTTTAACAGAAACACTTGAAATACTTTGCCATTTTGGGTGTGAAATTTTCTTCCTGTGCATATTTTTTTCTGGCTGGAAATTTTTCATTCTGTTACAACTTATTTTAAGGTGTTTATTGAACCACATTTCTAATAAGGATGAATAATTTCAGGTATGCTCTATAAAAAGCAGACCAGTCATCCACAGTGAATGGCATCCAGTTATATAGGGCTGACTAATTACTACCTGTAATTAGGTTTTAAGATCTCAGTTTGATCTGACTACCACATAGTACCAGGTTGAAGGGACTCTGGTCCAGCCTTTCTTGGCTTTCTTTGCTGCAGCAGCAGCACCCTGGTCACTCATACCGAGCTTGCTGTCTACCAGGACCCTCGGGTCCCTTGCCACAGAGCTGGTCCCCAGCCAGCCAGATCCCCACCTGTGCTGCACTCCTGGATTGTATTTTCTCAGGTGCAAATTCTTGTCCTTGTGGAACTTCATAAAGTTCTTGGCAGCCCACTTCTTCCAGCCTATCCAGATCTTCCTCCAGGGCGGCTCCCCCTCACAAATTGCCCACTTTCCCCCCCCAGCTTGGTATTTTCAGCAAACTTCATCAGGATACACTTGATCTCATCCTCCAGATCACTTATGAAGGTACTAAACAGATGTGGGCCCAGTATTGCTCCCTGGGGGACCCCACTTGTCACAGGCTGCCAGTATGAAAAGGAGTTATTTACCCCATCCTCTGGCTGTATCTGGGTAGCCAGTTCCCCATCCACTGCATGGACCACTTGTCTAGATCCTAATGCATCCATTACTTTAGGAGGAGTCTCTGGGAAAACATATAGAAAAGCCTTGGAGACAATGTCTGTTGCTCACCCCACATCAGCTGAGCAGGTCATTGTGTTGTCAGAAGGTGATCAGGTTTGTCAAGAATGACTTGCCTTTGGTGAATCCCTACTGGCTTTTCCCAATCATGTGCTTCATTTGACTTGTGATAGCCCCCAGGAGAATTTGTTCCCCAACTTTCCCAGGGAGTGGAGTAAAACTGACATGCCTGTAATTTCCTGGATCCTCCTTTAAGCCCTTGTAGATGGGGTGATATTAGCCTTCTTCCAGTCTTCTGGGACATCCCGTGGTACCCAACTTCTCCAAGATAATGGAGAGCATCCTTTTAATTACATCAGCCAGATACCTTAAAACCCTTGATGTGTAACATCAGGACCCATCAATTTGTAGGGGTCAGGCTCCTGTGATAGTTCACAGACAAGCTCTTCTTTCACTGACAGTGTCTGTCAGTGTTTGTATGAACCTGGATTTTTGTTTCCATGACGTATGTCCCAAGGTGAAGACAGAGGTGAAGAATGTGCTGGGACTCTCTGCCTTTTCAGCATTATGGGTGACCAATTCACCTCTGCTGCTTAACAGTGGGCCAGTATTTCCTTCTGTTTGTTTTTTATATACCCAAAGAACCGTTTCTTGTGTTTTTTGACCTCTCTGACCAATTTCAATTTGAGCTGAGCTTTTGCTTTTGTAACTGCATC